ATTGCGATTAAGAGATCAAAACCATACTTTTTATATTTCTACGCGCCCTACCTATTTTGTTGAGCTACAATCCCTACCTATGTATTACTGCTGAGAATGTAATATATCCTTGTCGAATGTCATTAGGGAAAGTAGGTCATAATCCTAAGATTATATAGACATAAGAGATGGAGGGGAGGTAAAGTTGGTATAGGAGACGGAAAATCACGAGGGAAAGTGGTTCAGAATTATAAAATCATATAACTATCAGAAGTGTTCCTACCTTTTATTTTTACAAATAAATGTTCATACATTATTTCCAGTTTTCATTGCGATCAAGAGATCAAAACCATATTTTTTATATTTATACGCGCCCTACCTATTTTGTTGAGCTACAATCCCTACCTATGTTTTACTGCTGAGAATGCCATATATTCTTGGCGAATGTCACTAGGGAAAGTGGGTAGTAGTTATAGATAGTGTTTTATAAGTGGAGGGGGGTAAAGTTGGTATAGGAGACGGAAAATCACGAGGGAAAGTGGTTCAGAATTATAAAATCATATAAATATCAGAAGTATTCCTACCTATTATTCTTACAAATAACTGTGCATACATTATTTCCAGTTTTCATTGCGATCAAGAGATCAAAACCATACTTTTTATATTTATACGCGCCCTACCTATGTATTACTGCTGAAAATGCCATATAGAGAGAGATGGAGGGGAAGTAAAGTTGGTATAGGAGACGGAAAATCACGAGGGAAAGTGGCTCAGAATCATAAAATCAAATAAATATCAGAAGTCTTCCTACCTTTTATTTTTACAAATAAATGTTCATACATTATTTCCAGTTTTCATTGCGATCAAGAGATCAAAACCATATTTTTTATATTTATACGCGCCCTACCTATTTTGTTGAGCTACAATCCCTACCTATGTTTTACTGCTGAGAAGCAACTGCCCTGGGGTGGGCCCAGATTAATAGTTATAAGAGATGGAGGGGTGGTAAAGTTGGTATAAGAGACGCTAAATCACGAGAGAAAATGGTTCAGAATTATAGAATCATATAAATATCAGAAGTATTCCTACCTTTTATTTTTACAAATAAATGTTCATACATTATTTCCAGTTTTCATTGCGATGAAGACATTAAAACCATATTTTTTATATTTCTGCGCGCCCTACCTATTTTGTTGAGCTACAATCCCAACCTATGTATTACTGCTGAGAATGCAATATGCGGGGGGCGTTAGACATAAGAGATGGAGGGGAGGTAAAGTTGGTATAGGAGACGGAAAATCACGAGGAGAAAGTGGTTCAGAATTATAGAATCATATAAATATCAGAAGTGTTCCTACCTTTTATTTTTACAAATAAATGTTCATACATTATTTCCAGTTTTCATTGCGATCAAAACCATATTTTTTATATTTATACGCGCCCTACCTATTTTGTTGAGGTACAATCCCTACCTATGTATTACTGCTGAGAATGCCATTTAGAGAGAGATGGAGGGGAGGTACAGTTGGTATAAGAGACGGTAAATCACGAGGGAAAATGGTTCAGAATTATAGAATCATATAAATATCAGAAGTCTTCCTACCTATTATTCTTACAAATAACTGTTCATACATTATTTCCAGTTGTCATTGCGATGAAGAGATCAAAACCATACTTTTTATATTTATACGCGCTCTACCTTTTTTGTTGAGCTACAATACCAACCTATGTATTACTGCTAAAAATGCCATATATCCATGTCGAATGTCATTAGGGAAAGTGGGTCATAATCCTAAGATTATATAGACATAAGAGATGGAGGGGAGGTAAAGTTGGTATAGGAGACGGAAAATCACGAGGGAAAGTGGTTCAGAATTATAAAATCATATAACTATCAGAAGTGTTCCTACCATTTTATTCTTACAAATAACTGTTCATACATTATTTCCTGTTTTCATTGCGTTCAAGAGATCAAAACCATATTTTTTATATTTATACGCGCCCTACCTATTTTGTTGAGCTACAATCCCTACCTATGTTTTACTGCTGAGAATGCCATATATCCTTGTCGAATGTCACTAGGGAAAGTGGGTCATAATCCTAAGATTATATAGATAACATAAAAGTCCCTACCCGTAAATCGCAAAATAATTCCGATTTTCCTTTCGTTTTATACAGAGATGGAGGGTTAGACATTACTGATTGGTTAGGAGATCAAAATCATAATAGGGAAAGTAGTTCAGTTGACTACAATCATATAACTATCAGTAGTCTTCCTACCATATTATTCTTACGAATTCTTAGGGCAAGTAGGATTTTCCTTACGTTTATAGCATAAGAGATGGAGGGGAGGTAAAGTTGGTATAGGTGACTGTAAATCACGAGGGAAAGTGGTTTAGAATTATAAAATCATATCAATATCAGAAGTGTTCCAACTATTTTTTTTACAAATTAATGTTCATATATATGTTTTCCTGTTTTCATTGCGATCAAGAGAACAAAACCATATTGTTTATATTTATACGCGCCCTACCTATTTTGTTGAGCTACAATCCCTACCTATGTATTACTGCTGAGAATGCCATATGTCCTTGTCGAATGTCACTAGGGAAAGTGGGTCATAATCCTAAGATTATATAGATAACATAAGAGTCCCTACCTGTAAATCGCAAAATAATTCCGATTTTTTTTCGTTTTTACAAATCACTGTTCATACATTATTTCCTGTTTTCATTGCGTTCAAGAGATCAAAATCATATTTTTTATATTTATACGCGCCCTACCTATTTTGTTGAGCTACAATCCCTACCTATGTATTACTGCTGAGAATGCCATATATCCTTGTCGAATGTCACTAGGGAAAGTGGGTCATAACCCTAAGATTATATGCTCCCACAAATTTCGATTTTCATAAGAGATGGCGGGGAGATATAGTTGGTATAGGAGATAGTTAATCACGAGGGAAAGTGGTTCAGAATTATAAAATCATATCAATATCAGAAGTGTTCCTACCTATTATTTTTACAAATAAATGTTCATACATCATTGCCTGTTTTCATTGCGTTCAAGAGATCAAAACCATATTTTTAATATTTATACGCGCCCTACCTATTTTGTTGAGCTACAATCCCAACCTATGTATTACTGCTGAGAATGCCATATATCCTTGTCGGATGTCACTAGGGAAAGTGGGTCATAACCCTAAGATTATATAGAAAACATAAAAGTCCCTACCCGTAAATCTCAAAATAATTTCGATTTTCATTTCGTGTTATAAGAGATGGCGGGGAGATATAGTAGGTATAGGAGATAGTAAATCACGAGGGAAAGTGGTTCAGAATTATAAAATCATATCAGAAGTGTTCCACCTATTATTATACCTATAAAATCATATAAATATCAGATGTCCTCCTACCTATTATTCTTAAAAATAACTGTTCATACATTATTTCCTGTTTTCATTGCGTTTAAGAGATCAAAACCATATTTTTAAAATTTATACGCGCCCTACCTATTTTGTTGAGCTACAATCCCTATATCAGAAGTCTTCCTACCTATTATTCTTACAAATAACTGTTCATACATTATTTCCAGTTGTCATTGCGATGAAGAGATCAAAACCATACTTTTTATATTTATACGCGCTCTACCTTTTTTGTTGAGCTACAATACCAACCAATGCATTACTGCTAAAAATGCCATATATCCATGTCGAATGTCATTAGGGAAAGTAGGTCATAATCCTAAGATTATATAGACATAAGAGATGGAGGGGAGGTAAAGTTGGTATAGGAGACGGAAAATCACGAGGGAAAGTGGTTCAGAATTATAAAATCATATAGCTATCAGAAATGTTCCTAACATTTTATTTTTACAAATAACTGTTCATACATTATTTCCTGTTTTCATTGCGTTCAAGAGATCAAAACCATATTTTTTATATTTATACGCGCCCTACCTATTTTGTTGAGCTACAATCCCTACCTATGTTTTACTGCTGAGAATGCCATATATTCTTGTCGAATGTCACTAGGGAAAGTGGGTCATAACCCTAAGATTATATAGACAGATTTTTCGTTTTATAAGAGATGGAGGGGAGGTAAAGTTGGTATAGGAGACGGAAAATCACGAGGGAAAGTGGTTCAGAATTATAAAATCATATCGATATCAGAAGTGTTCCAACATTTTATTTTTACAAATAACTGTTCATACATATTTTCCTGTTTTCATTGCGTTCAAGAGATCAAAACCATATTTTTTATATTTATACGCGCCCTACCTATTTTGTTGAGCTACAATCCCTACCTATGTTTTACTGCTGAGAATGCCATATATCCTTGTCGAATGTCACTAGGGAAAGTGGGTCATAACCCTAAGATTATATAGATAGATTTTTCGTTTTATAAGAGATGGAGGGGAGGTAAAGTTGGTATAGGAGACGGAAAATCACGAGGGAAAGTGGTTCAGAATTATAAAATCATATCAATATCAGAAGTGTTCCACCTATTATTTTTACAAATTAATGTTCATATATTTGTTTTCATGTTTTCATTGCGATCAAGAGATCAAAACCAAACATACATATCAAGTGTCCCCTATATTTTGTTCTATTTTGTTGACTAAGATCAAAACCATATTTTTTATATTTATACGCGCCCTAGCTATTGTTGAATGCTACAATCCCTGTCCTATGTCATTACTGGGATCCCATATGTCCTTGTCAACTGTCCCTAGGGAAAGTGGGTCATAATTATAAGATTATATAGATAACGTTAGAGTCCCTTCCATGTAAATCTATAAATAAATTTCGCTTTTCAATTCGGTTTAGTTGTCGGTATATGGGAGGGAGGGTCAAAAATTTATTATAAATATATTTGTATAAATGTAGCGTCGTAAGGGCCTACCTAAAATATGGAGAATTCGCTACCTGTAATCAGATTCCTTTTCCTATTGCAATCAAGAGATCAAAGCCATCTTAAAATAATTTTAAGCACGTACCTACATCTTTTTGGTTTTCCTACCTGATATAGTTGCAGATCTGAAATGATGGTGGGCCGAGCCGGTTTTATAGTTAGAATTTATTAATTATAAGATACCAGCTAGATGATTTTAATTTTAATTCGGTCCCAACTCGGATCGTCGTAGTGAATTACTAGTGAATTATTTCGGAATCCATCACTTGATTACCGTGTGTATGTATAATTCTTGATTTGTTCTCCGTTAATATATATATTTAAATTTCAGAGAAAATTGTTGTATCTGAATATTTTTTTTGACGTTTTTCTTAACACTGTTTAGATGAATGTCAATATGAGACCTGCCTACTACTATGCTTGTCAACAAGTCAGCAAACTAAATTTAGATTCGTTAATAAAATCCGAACGAGAGATTGAGAAATAGTAATATTAAAAGCCGTGTTGAAATTCGGTGGAATAAACCCTACCTATTATTTTGAAGAAAATATGAAATTGTCTTTGGTTAAGGGTAATTTGAATTCAGTGTGTCATGTTGAACAATTTGATGCTTATGTTTATACTTTTGACAATATTTTTTGGCAGTTTTTCAAAGCCTTACAAAATGGTGGGTATTTTAAATTGATATGATTAATTTTGATGCTATCGCAGGGCATTTTTATAAATATATGAGAATACACATAGATATGTATATTGATAAATTTTAAATTATTTTCGGGGAACCTCCATATTCAGCTTACATTGGCGAGTCATAATCATCCCAATTGGACCTTGTCATAGAGAAATTAATAATTGAATCCTTTGATTGTCTGCTACCATCCTTAAATCAATTACCTTTGATTTGATTCAGTTGTATTTTTACTCCGAGATAGTCCGCCATATTTGTTCACTAAAACATTGTTTAGCCAGTAAAAAGGTATAATATTTACGTACTTTTATGCTTTAGCAGCCATTTGAAGTTCGAGAATTACCTAAATGGGATATCAGGAACTAATGACTTTTTTTAAATATTTAATTGTGATTGATCACTGGCGCTTCTTCGTGTAGAATCGCATGGACAGAGAATTCAGGTTTTGGGTTTGGGTTTATCGTATATGAATCGAAATCTTTTTGGGATACTGAGATCCAACCCTTCCTCGATGAGCTAACTGCTGCAACGCTTTGTAAAAAGGTTGGATGATCTAACTGAAATTGAATTGAAGCTTGAAATAAAAAAATATGACGAGCAATGTTTCGAGATTTATTTTTGGAATTTTTGAATTTTATTCACTTTTTTGTTGCTTCTTTTCCATAGATATAGATGAGCTCTTTTTTATGCATTTTTTCCATTTCCATTTTCTTATTCTTTGTTTTGTTTCGACAAGTAATTTTACATCAGTATAAGTAATTATAAAGTCGTAGAGTGTACAAAAACAAAAAAAATGTTAAACAATTTCAAATAATTAAGAACTTAACACGTTGTTGTTGTGGAACTGTTTCCGCTTTGAGTTCACTACAAAGTGTATAGCCACAGAAAAGATTGCTTGCAACCAACTGCCAATGTTTTCGACTTGTTGGTTGAATTGCTACTCCAAAGACGACGTGTGAGCAGATTCAATCGATCGATGTCAGAACCGAGTTATACGTATATCTGCCCGGCATTGGTATTTGTTCGATGGTAGGTAAGCAACAGAAGGCCCATTGTATTGTTCACCCTTAGTAGAGCAGAGAAGTCGATACACCGGTGTTCCTATAACACAATCCGCACAATCAATCAGATAGAAACGACGCACCCTGTTAGACTGCGGCCCCCGACAACCAACACTGAGGCCGAGTCAGGGCCGCAGCCAAAACATTCGCCAAACGCGTACATCGGCCGAAGTGCATTTTCAGCACTTCATCTGCCTAGGGTTCGCGAAGGGTACAGAGTTTTACTTGGATCGATCGCCTACGCGTTTGCGTATCAACTTTCAACGCCCAACTATAATGTTTAGAGAAAGAAATACATATTGCTTGGTTAAGTTGTGTGTCAGAGTTGCATTAAGCATTATTACAAATAAGATTATCAGCTATGTAAATGTTATAACGACTACGAAACTTATACGTAGGTAAGATGCCAATAGAAGCGACAGAAACGGGGATGAAGAAACGTAAAGCGATGAAATTTTCCCTACACCCAACATGTGGGAAAATACATACATAAATATGTAATCGTACATTTGTATGTACATGGTTACATGAAAAGAAAGTACCAAGTTCCACCCCAGTACTTTTTGCAGCTGCTCTGCTGTTGACGTCAGTATGTGTACAACTGAATGCAGTATTGATATGAGTATCCCACAAGTGGGAGCGAGATGAATATACATGTAACATGTAAGGGAAAAGAGGGGGTACAAAAAGGCTAATTTTAGAGCAGGCCAGGTGGTGGCATCTGTTCGGGGGGGTTGAAATGAAAAATCGAGAAATTTCGACGAGATTCGAGACGCCTGGAATTGTTCTGGAACAATTCCAGATTACGCAATGGACTGAAATAGTCCGACTTTTACATAACTTGGTTTTAGAAAACGCCACGACATATGTGTGCTGACGAAATAGAGCATGGGCCAACGTTAGAAAAAGTTTTTCCTGCAGATCGTCTTTCGACAATTATCTAGTTCTTAAAACTACATTTTTGCTTACGAAATACAAGGTGCATTGAAAGATGTCACTCTTGATTTTCTGCTGTTTATACCTGGCTTCCTATCCCAATTTATCAAATCCACGTACACTGCAGGTCTGGGCTGCCGCCATTGCACCCGTCTGTGTCAGTTTCGAGTTTCCTGAACCTCCTGGATATTTTCTCATCCTGCCTAGAGAGTTACTTTCTAGCCAAACACGAGAAACTGCGCCTTTCCAGCTGCTTCCGCATTGTGAAATTCCCCGAAGCTGACGGTCAAATCGATGACTAATACACTTTTCCAGCGTGTTTCTTTGTTTCAATTTGTGAGCAAATATTGTGCCCACATCGAGCAAGACTACGTTGGCGTTTTCGCCATGCTGGCATATGGCTTTTGCTTCGCTGTTACGACACGTTTTCCACACTTTTCCATTTTTGATGATGATTACTATATGCTAGCCAGAAATAGTGAATACTTTTGTACAAATTTTTAAATTTTTATTCAGAGACACTGCGACTACACTTGAACACTTTTTTTTTGCGAGTGGCAATGTCTGGTTCGGCCAGTTCTATTTATACATGCCAACCCAAGCGCGCTGTATCATGGAAAATTCGTGAAGGCTGCTGTCTCTGTCTACGTGACTTGTTCTCACTTTCGCACATCGAATGTTTAGAGCGAGACAACCAGCTTCCTCTGGGCGCAGTCAGAGTTGTATTTCTAACTTTGACAGCTGCCAGAGTTGTATTTTTCGCAGTATCGAATATTTTAATGCTTCAAAATAAATAATTAAATTTGATTAGTCAAATATATAAGGACATAAAAACTTTTTAAATCAGATCTTATATAGCCTGTGCGATATAAATATCTGTATAATATAAAATACCAATGTTGTGGAAGGGGCGCCACTGTATAAATATCTGTACGATGTAGAATGTACAGAAAAATGTCATACATATGTAGTGTTGTATGGAAGTATGTAGATATCGTGTATTTGTTACATTTGCCTGTATGCGGGATAAATAATTTAATAAATGAATTAATTAATAAATGGCATATCAAAATTGCGGAAGATGTATAGAGCAGTTGCAACATATCGGTAAACTCTAACATAAAGGTGGAATGTTTGAGCATTATAAAACCTTTTTAAATAAACTATTCTACCCAATTACTTTTGCAGTTATATTTGTACATATTTCAAATACAAATTACGTTAGCAGCTGGGCAGCTGCAGTTTGAAAATCGTTTACCTGCATTCGCAGGCAGTTTGTAAGGAGGATTACATCCCCTGCTAAATTTTCCATTGTGTAGTTTTCTAATCCCAAAAACCCACCACCGAATCGGCTCAGTGTACGCTGGCAAACGTCCAACTGTTTGTGAGAGTTGAACCAAACACAAGGTTTTTGAACCTTTGGCTGTTCGCGGAGCAGGAAAGACAGCTGTTGCAAAACGCACGCGCATCCTGTGCTGAATCGACTGTATCGGGGTGGGCTGGGCACGGGATCGAGTTCGAGTTCGGGTTCGGGTTTGAGTTGGCGCATATCCTTGAGCAACAGCATTGGGTAAATAGTGAAGAGCGCTCAGCTGCAAGCGCGCTCCAAATAAATGCTATGCTAACGAGTTGAACTGTAAAACTTGAAAACTGTCATTAAACTTCAAACAAAGGGTATGCAAAGCAATGGGAAGAACAAAAGTTTTGATTATTGTTTGGCTGGACATAGATTTAATTACCATACCCGCTTAGTGCCCCCCACCTACTACCCTCCCTCCCCACAGTTACGCAGAAAAGCCAGAATTTCCGTTTTGCGGAAAGTGCTCTATTCTCCTGTGAAGGAAGCGCAGCAATAAAACTTTGTTGCATTGGTAGGAAGGAAAAGCACAAGCACAAACAGCAAAGTGTAACGAAAAGGCGAAAGCCTGATGCCAGCAATTGGCAGTAACAACAGCCACCGTAACACAAAAGGAACAGCAGCATAATGGAGGCAGCACGGAAATTGCGTATACGCCGTGTGCCCGCGCGTGTATGTCTGCGCTGAGAGACATGAAAAGCAATTGGGGGAGACCTCTTGTTGCTCTCTGTTTTGTTTCCTGTGCCCCCAGAGCGACACAGGGCGACACGAAATACAATAGGCAACAGCGGGGGGAAAAAGTCAAATGGCATAATAAACGTATTTATGAAAAGGCATCCAAAGCATCAACATGTTTTCCTTTCATCTTGGCCCGAAATGAGCATGGGCCTGGGTCTGGGCTTGGGTTCGGGTACGGGTAAAGGCTGATTGTGAAAGTGTTTTTGGACGGGAAGCAGCCTTACGCCCACCGCAGCTTCCCACTCGGTCTCCCTGACATTTCGCCATTTAACCTTGCATGTTGCCAAATGTGGTCCTTCAGCTTTAAGCCTACAAAGTTATATGCTAAGCCTGTGCGAAGCTCCGAAAAGGACGGGAAAAAGCATAAACATATAGGAGAGGCTCTGTCATTGCATTTGGGGGACGTTGGTGTTGCTGCGCCGCTCACGGAGTGTTCGGGTGTATGTGCTCGAGTACATAGGCGACAAGGACGATTGGGCGAATGAGCGATGCGATGCGATGTGGGGTGGAGGGGCCGTAGCCCCACTCTCCCGAATCGAGCTCGACGCTGCTGTGGAGGGTAACGGTAACTGGCGGCGGGTGCGGTTTGGCAACAGGGACCTACATTCAGTCGTCGTCGGGCCATCGTCGTCGTCGGCTCCCACTATCGTGCTCCGAGCGTGTCTGTGTCCATGTCTGTCGTGAAGCCAGATAGCCTGAAAAGCGAGCTGCCCGTGCAGCATTGGCCGCAGTCCTCATTCAGACGCGAATCCGTTAACATCGCGGTCGCCGAAGGGCAGACAACACAACATCAATCGGCACGGCGACCAGCACATGGCCGTCCATGGAACGCAACACGGAACCAACCGAACCGACCACGCGTAGTGTTAACCTTTCAATGTTTTTTTCGTTGAACCGTTTTACCATTTTCTGTTTCTGTTTGCTTTTTTGTGGGCGTGTGGGCACTGTGCGGAGGTGTCGCTGTCCCATCAGTGTGGGAGTTGTAAACTTTTCTTAGCATCATTATGCTGCACTCGCTCTGCTTTTTCTGCTCTGTGTGCAGTTTTTAGCACTGACATTTTAATTAGTCGTGCTGTTGACACTTGGTCATACGCCCCATTGGGCCCTTGGGCCTGGACCATCAGTATCATCAGTTTGCTGCTTACTCCACGCGTAGACCCCGACCACGAGGCATGTAAGCACAATTAGGTTTGAAGCACTTTCACGCTCTCTATCTCAGTGTCGCAGCCAGAATCAACGGCCGAATTCAAAATGAATGGGATCGGCAGCGGAATAGAAATAGGAATAGGACACCAGCTGAGAACGGGGCCGTGGACAGTTTGAATTGTGTGCTAAGGGGTCTTTAGTCGCCAGCTTGTCTGGTGACTCCCGTGGATAACAGCACTCCCCCATGGGCGAAAGGCAACAAAAGAATTCCTTGCCTTTCTACCAGCACCAGTGGCTTTGTGGCAATTGTTTCAATGCTTACTGGCAATTTTTTGGCACTCAATCGAAGTGCCTCCTGCGCTTGGCAGTTGTGTTTAATGGAATTTTTATATGGTGCCATTGAGTTACTCGACGGCTCGTTTTGTCGATGTTTGTTCGGCTTTTTTGAGGTCAAAGTGCATGCTCGCCTTCTCTCTTTTATTTTTCAATTTTACCCAAAAACAGAGTAGAGCAGAACAGAGCAGAGCAGAGCGACAACAACAATAAGAACAAGAACAGGGAACAATAAGAGAAATGGCATTAAAATTAATTAACCACGCGCATGTGTTGGAGATGGTATATGGCCATGTCCCTGAGCCCAGCCTCTCGGCTGCACCTCCCCGCGTTCAATGCTACCACTCCAACCATTTATCCAAACCCCCAACATTTGGCCTTATCTGAAATATGCACACGAGGCCTTGAGCCGCCGACTTTTTCGTAATGCCATCCAAGGCAACGTCAACCAGCTGACGAACGACCCACAGACCAGACCAAACCAGACCAGACCGACCCACCGACCAATTCGCTTCGCATCCCAAACAGCAACAAACTGTTGTAGGTGCTGCCAGCAAATGGTTTTCAACCTTGGGGGGCCGCGAGTGGTGAAAATTGCATTTGTTGTGCAACGACAGCGACAACTACAAAAGGCACAAACACCACACACACACATGAGTTTAAACACTGTGGCATGATTACTTTGCAATGGTGCACAGCTGCAAATATATGTACGTAATACTCGTATGTTAATTAAATGTTGTTGTTTAATCTGTAAAGCCACGAAATATCCTGCATATCCTACAACTGAATGGAATGGAATGTTTTTCAACGCCAATAAAATGCCAAGTGACGATGCCATTTTTATAGACTTTTTCTAAATCAAAAGAAACCACTTAACATAAATACAAATAAAATAGAGACTACCAGCGACGGTCGAGGCGCCACTTAAAGTGCCAGCTAGTTTATCCAAGACGGCCTGGCCTGGAGATGGCAGTGAACGGGAGGATTCGCAAGCGCAAGCATAAAAGCCATACAAGTGGCGACACTCCGACTCCGACGACAGCCACTAGCATAACGGCGGCGGCATCCACAGCCACAGCCACAGCAGCACCCTCAGCGCCTGGCAGGCCCTGGCCCATGATGGAGCATAGCGAAACAATCGAGGAAGCCGCCCTCGCTGGGGACTATAATAATTTCACGCATAATTTCGTCGATTTGCAGAACCTCTTGAATTTCAACGATTTGCTGAGCACCAGCAATAGCAGCAGCATCGGCCCCAGCATTGGGAATGGGAATGCCAGCGACAATAGAAATGGCAACTCAGTGGACAGCCACAGCAGCTTCTCGAGCGGATCAAGTACCATTAAATTGAGTAACGGTGCCATTATGGACACTCTTTTGGGAACCGTTTTGACCACGGCCACGGCGACTGTTGCGCCCGCCGCCAGCTCCTTGATAGCCACGATTGCAGCCACCACGACAACAACCGCATCAGTGGCGGCCACCTCATCCACCTATTATGCCAACTTGCTGAACATGTCGCCGGCGACCACCAGCCTGATCGCGGCAGTAGCGGCCACCAAATCCTACAACGACAGTTCCATGCGCTGGGAGCAGTTCGATGGAAACGTGGACTTTGGCTTCGATCCGCTCTACCGCCATTCACTGGCCATGTCCATTGTCTATATCGTGGCTTATATCGTGGTGTTCCTGGTGGGTCTCATTGGCAATAGCTTCGTGATTGCCGTCGTCTTGCGGGCGCCTCGCATGCGGACGGTGACAAACTACTTCATTGTGAATCTGGTATGTGGCCCCTAAATCTTACGAATGAACCCCATTAATTTGAACTTAAATTTCCATTCCATTCCATACCATTCCCCGATTCCAGGCCATTGCGGACATCCTTGTTATTGTCTTTTGCCTGCCAGCCACTCTGATTGGCAACATCTTTGTGCGTAAGTATCTGCTTAATTCCGTAAGGCTGTGAGATTTATTCGCCGCTGGGGGCCACATTAACGCCGCGTAGGATGATGTGTGTTTCCGTCTGTTCTTTTTTTTTCTGTTTTGGTTCTGCATATTAGCTGAATTTATGGCTTGCAATTAATCGCCGCTTAGATAAAGCTTCCCCCAAATGACACGGCTGAAATTTGTTAGCAGCCCCTCCCCAACAAGCTGCGTGTTCACGTGGCGTATGCGTAATGTTTCCGCTACAGCCACAGAGTACGAGCAAAAAAGCAAATGTAATGGACATGTCATTAGAGCTAATGTCCGGCATAAATGCTTGAGGAAATTAAGCTCGATTTCGATTTCCTGCAGCAGCGGTGCCTAGCGTGTTGCGAGAAGCGTTGCAGTAATTACCATTTATGTATGTTTATATCGGAATTTATGTACTCTTGGCAGACACATTTGGCTTTCGTTGCCCCTTTTAATTGGAAACTGAACATTATACGAGTATTTATGTCGCCTAACTCTTTGCACTCTGTAATTTCAAAACAGCCATTGAATGCAGATAATATTGAAATACTCGTAGTTAAGGCAAAGTTAAAATTAAACTATATAAGAGTGTATTTAGTAAATTGCTCGCGACAGAAATTGCAACTTTTTACGCAAATTAAATCCTGCCCGATAATTTATTCAGTATTTCGTCTGCCAAACCTGTTTGAAATCTTTTAAGCAAATGCAAATGAATCTGTGACATCAGAGAAATCCCTGCCCGGACTGGTGGCACTCAATTAAATTAATTTTCCGGGTGTTAGGCCACCACAGCACAGCACACCACACCACTCCCCATTCTGTCCCAATCCATAGTCCTTCGTGGAACTGACAATTTGCAATTTGTCCAAGGTACAAGTGTATATTTAATTAAAGGCCAATTCGAAATCCCAGCTAAGGCACGACGACCCACAAACGACCCAATAAACGAGGTTGCGCATAATTGTATGCTTTAATTTAAATAAATTTCACCTGACATGCCTATCTATCCATCTCTGTCGGAGCTTACACCCTCTGTTACAACTGTCTTCTGCGAAGTACTCTGTACTCTGCTCCTGTTTACCCCTTAGACTCGGACGGTAAGCTGTCTTCTAAATTGATTGTCGTGGAGCCGTTCGAGCAGGTACCCAGAGTAGGAGTATGAGTACGGGCATGTCTATGCAAATCGCCGTCGACATGGAAAAATGATCGAAATCCTTGAGAAATCAAATTCCGATTGTAATGCACGCCATGTCAGGGCAGCCAAGGAACACAAACCAGACCAAGGGCCGCAGTTCCATCTTCTATTGGAGCCGATGGCTGGGCCAACAGTAGGCTCACGGCTTGCCCCCAAGTGTTGCCAATTAAGTAGTGGCTCTTGCCCCACCAAGGCGGGGCTGTGCTGGGCTTTGCTGGGCTGTGCTGAGGGTGGACTGTGGGCTGTGAGGATTCTCTTGTTGCTATACCTAAACTCTAAGAAACGGCATTGCACTCGGCTCTCGTTCTCCCCCGCCCAACAAGTGGGTCGGTGAGAGTGGGGGCGTAGTAAACGAAGTCGGCCGAATGCGAGCGCCAGGGAAAACGAATAAAGCGTGAGGCAGGAAAAAGTGAATGAGTTTTCCTCAGCCTGCATTGTGTGTGTCTGTCTGTGTGTGTGTGTGTGTGTGCCACTGCGCACTCTCTCTTCTGTTTCTCGGGCTCTCTCACTCTCTATGTACTCGCACTCGGCTTTTGTGTGTTTGTGTGTGTGTGCATGGCTGGTTGTTGCTGCTTTTTGGTGGGGCCCAAAGGATCATCGACACAAAACTGACCTAATTTCACAAATTCAAGCTAGGCGCAGGGCTGGCGCTGCCAGGGGGCCGAACGCTCTTAGTGGGTCACTGTGGGTGGCGCCTCGCCTCGCCTCTCCGTTATGGCCTGACTTGGGCCCAGCTGCTGGGGCCTAAGCAAAAGCAGCAGTCACAACAGCAAACACAAATTGCAGCCCTTGTGCTGGCATTTCGACTTGTGTGGGCTGACTTTTGGGGGTATGTAGGCGTCTATGGAGGATATTTTTTTTTTGTTTTTTTTTGTTTTTTTTTTGGGCGCTCACAGTGTTGGGTAGGGGTGGGCCGTGCTACCCAAAACATTCCAATTCGCTCTCGACAAGCTGCTGAAAGACGTTTACATCGAAGGCGAGTTCAAAAGCTGCGGCAGAAAAAGGGCATTGTGTGGAAGTTGGAAGTTCTGTAGGTGCTTGGAGTGCTTTGGATGTTTGGCATATTTGCACATCGAACATTGCACGTTGCTGTCTGATGTTTTCACGTTGCAGTCCCCGACACACCGCACCGCGGGGCTAGGATGGTCGCCATTCCCATTCCCATACCATCCCCTACCTTACCATCAAAGTGAATTATATGAAATCAAAATGCAGCCGTCAAAGCCGATGCCGACGGCGACGCGAACGGTGGCCATCGCCGCAGGCAGAGCCATTATCTAAGCACACCTTCAAGCCTCAGAACTGCAGTGGAAGGTTGTTTGCATTCAAGGCTCTTTGCGGCTGGATGAATTGACCTAAATATTTCGCTTGGCAAACCTGATAGTCAGGGTTATCCACACTCACACACACACACACACCCCGAGTGTGTATCAGTGTGTGTGTGTGTGTGCTTGTTGGTACCTGCACGGTGTTGGGGTTGGGGTTGGGCCTGTACTCTTTGAGGGTTGTGGGCTTGGGGTTGCTTCGGTTCGGTTGGGTCGAGTTGGGATGTGTGGTGTGGCGATGGTGGCCCTTATTTATGTGTGCTTCGAAATCCAATAAAATGCGAAATGAATTGATTTCCTATCCGCGCACGCTCTGCCGCCTTGAGACGAAGGATATACTTGCATTCGCACCGCTGTCCTAAATGGGGCTTTATGGCCATTGTTGTGCCATCTTATCAATGCGAAATCGTTGTCATTAAGCCCTGCGTGGATCCGCATCACGTTCTCCTATTTTTTAAGTCACGTTTCCTTGCCAGTTTGTTCATTAAATTGGCAGCGTGATTTGTGCCGGACGGACGCGTCGGCGGCTGCGGTGATATGCATAACGAAAGACGCTGCTGATGAAGTCATTTTTCAGCACTTTGTGCCGCCTGATTGTATTTTAATTTAGTCGCTACGTGCCGATGGCAAACGCAAGTGGCAGCCTCTCATACCCTGAACACACCTCCACTCACCATTCTTCGCTCTCTAGTCGGGCGCAGGCTGGCGCCATTCCTGCGGTATTCAATTTGCCATCGTGTAGTTACAGGAGTCGCCGCCGGACGTGACGCTTAAGTGATAATCATAACAATAACGCATTTGTCTGAAGTGTTATGCCATTTCCATGGCCATTCCACGCCCATATCAATCGAACTCCCCAGCCCAGACCCAGACCCAGAATCAGACCCGGACCCGGAGTCGCAAGCCCCCTGACCCGTTGGCGGATTTGTTACGCCTGATTATTTCATTAACTTTATGACCTTACTGTGGTAACCACAATGAAAGAACAAAATAGTAGCCCCTGAAGCAAACGGAGGCAAAGGTTCACAATGCAAAGAAAAATCCAATCCACTTTGCCTATGCGTAACGACAAAGAAAAGTTTTTCAGTAAAGGGACAAAAAAAAAACTTAAAGGCTTAGGCAGAGCACGCTTGACATTTTCCAGGGCCAAGCTCGACCCCCCACCACTCACAGCCACCGCAGCACAATTGAAGGCTGCTGATAAGCTCAAATATCGATTGGTATTATCTCCTGTAGTTGAGTTGATCAATATTGAGCACAGCTTATGCTTACAAATTGAGACGCCGCTGCTGCTGCTGAGTCTGTTAGCCATATGTTGTCCCGTCTGTCAAACACACTCAGCCCAGCCACTCATTTCTCTTACCTTGACAGTACGTACCGCGACTTACGACTTAAGAAGCCAAGCTGTCTGTGTACGTATATCCTTCAAAGTCCGAATATTTGGTCTCACTTCAGGCGAAAAATTGATTAGGGCCCAGAGAGTTTGCAGGGTCTGACCATCACGCGATTCGATTTGAGTTATTTCTGATGTTTACACAACAAATTAATGGAGAAGAGGGAAAACGTAAAAGTTTGTTTAATACTAAACTGCTTTTAGTAGCAGCTTTTATGTTCAAAAATATGCTGAATATTTTGATACATTTTCCTGAAAAAATTCCATGAAGTTTGCAGCCAAATTAAAGCGAAATTTTGTATATCCTTTAGTTATATACACACATACATAAATATCTACATATGTACATAGCAAACAATTGTTGAGTTTGTTCGTCCCCCCTCTGTGTTTACTTGTGATTAAAAAAGTCAGTTGACTCTTGTGAGTTCTGAATAATTTGAATATGGCTTTAGTTTGCTCGTATACTTAGTTGATAGTTCTATTGAAAACTTTAATCCAAAAAACACCAACCAAGGCACGTCTGCATTTTTTAATTAAATGGCAAACGCCATGGGATGTCATTTCTATTTTTGTTGGTAAAAAGCGAAGCGAATAAAGATTAAATCTATTGAAAATGAAAATTTGGAAAAGTATGAGATGTGTTTAGCCATTCACATGATTGAATATGATGAAGCATTTCCGAACAGAATTTTAATTTGAAGTTAAACTCTTGTTTAAACAACTTTCTGCTGTCGGTTTAATAGACAAAAAAGTTTGGCAAGGCAGACAGCCATATATCAAAGTTTACCCTTATCAGCATAATATCAAATAAGTAGCCCAAAATCCAGTCGTATTAATAGCTTCGGTTTCAGTCTGTTGCACTTGCAACAGGAGAGGTTTCCCATTTTGTTCAACGCAAGCAATTTCCAATCGAATGCAAAAAAAAAGAATAAACTCGAAAAGAAACCCATTTGAGCTGCTGTCTCTCCTCGTGGATGTACGTATGGAACGGTCATGTGTACATTCGGTTGATTGTTTGTCAGTCCGTCCGTCTGTGTCCGATTTTTATGTCCTGCACACACGCAAACACATATACACATGATCCTGCCCAGAACCTGTCCATTCGACTCTCAAGCCAATGCACAGAAGTTCACAGCCACAAAGCGAAATAATATTTATATTTTTATGTGCCAAATCATATTAAATTTGGCTTTTATTGGGCTGCTGTGAGCGTGGGCGGGCGTACGGTGCGTATGCATAATAAAAAGCGACAACAAACCGAGATAAGACAGGCGAACGAGACAGGAAATTAGAAGCCCCAAAAGCAGCCACCGACGGCACTAAGGTTGTGGAGCCGTCTCCTGCGGCGAGCGTTCAATGCTCCCGCGGTGCGGAGCATAGCAGGGGAGTCCTGACAGTTTGCCTCGTGCTAATGATGTGTGGGCTGTTGTTGGTTAATTGCCATTCGATCTGTCATGCTCGGAGTGCTGTTCGACTGTCATCAACCTTGACAAAAGTTTGCCACAGGTCCTGGTCCTGCCAGCGTACTAGTCCTGGTGCTGGGGGCTGGGTACCGTGCCCTATCATGCCCCCGGCCATGTGTGTTTTATAACCTTTTGTGTCTGAGTGAGTTATTCCTTTTAGCATAAAATTCATAACGCACAACTATGCGATTGCTATGCTGGAGTCCTTGTCACGAGAACGCGTACGTAGGGGGCTGGAGCATCAGTCTCGTGCCTTTCATCAAATAGAATAAAAGGAATACAAATTAACTTAGACAAGTGCGGTCTAGTCGTGGACCTGGTCCTGGTACTGGCTCTTGAACTGATTGTGGTCCTCAATGCGGCTAGGCAAACAATAGTCCCGTTCCACGTCATTGCTCCGCCTGCCTCCGCCTCTGCCTCTGGCCTGGCGCAATCTGAGACTTGTCACCAAATTATGAATGATATGCAGCACATAAATCTCAGTCAGCAAACAACGGCGGCGACGTGGGCGGCTTGAGATGGCAAGAAGCATTGAACGTTAACCAAGACCATGAGCATAAGACAAGAGATAGGACAACCAGGACAACGACTAGGACAATAATGCACAGGGCAGGGCAGGACAGGACAGGACAGACCAGGACAGGACAGCACAGGACGATGTGACCGAAAGTTACTCAGCATAATTTGTACACTGTTTATGGCCAATATTTACCCGCTCTCTACCTTCTCTACTCTGATTTTCTCTTTTCTTTTCTTTTCTTTTCTCTTTTAACCATATTTTTCAGCCTGGATGCTCGGCTGGCTGATGTGCAAGTTTGTGCCCTACATACAGGGTGTCTCGGTGGCGGCATCGGTTTACAGTTTAATTGCCGTGTCCCTCGACAGGTAAGTGCAACGTGAAACGTTGAGGCAGCGTTGAAAAGTTGAAAACACTCTCCTCAATTACTTGGCTATGAACTTTTATTGGGGGATAATCTTGGGTGTTGTTGGGTTGGGGTCAGGCATTGGATGGGAGTGGGACGGGATGGGGCAAGGGCTGGGGGTCAGGGGCAGTTGCTGCAGTTAATGATGCACGACCAGAGCTGGGGCAGCATGGTGCACGGGCACTAGGGGCACCAGCGGCCTGACGGCATGCACAGCCACCACAGGCTTAGCGACAATCGGGGTGACGACCTTCACGGGGGCCGGATGGTGCACGACGTGTCTGTTGGAGAGAGGGTGAGAGTGGATGTGCCAGTGGCAGTCAGCAGTTAGGGCGATAAGCAGATTGAAAATTAATTGCGTCCTGTTCAACTTACGAGTGCACCGAGTGGGCCCCATGATGGATGATGGGAGAGTGCACCACAGCGGGATGCGCCACCACGGGGTGCGCCACAACGGGCTGCACGGCAACCAAGCCGGGATAGGCGTAGACCTGGGCGGCGGAGAGGGCGGCGAGGACAAACAGCTGTTCGAAGCGGGGTTCAAAGTTCACAGATTAGCTGTAGCAGCAGCAGTAGCAGTAGCAGTAGATCCGTCAGATACTCACAACTTTGAACATTTTGGTTGGCTGTTTTGTTGGCTGGGGATGTGTAGGAGATAAATTGAACGCTGGGCTAATGATTTGCTAGTTGCAACTGGTGACAAGTGCAACACGGAGCGCAGCTTTTATAGGAACACCAGCCCGATCCGAAAGTGAGTCGCTCAATGCAAGCAGCAATGCTGCACCTGGGGAAAACTGGTCAGGCAGCCAGACAGACAGACAGACAGACAGACAGCCAGACAGTGGAGTACAGGCAGTCTGTGGGTCGCTCGTTCGTCTCAAGATCAAGTTCATCATAGTTTGCCTTGTCCGTATTAGGCGCTGCGATAATCAAATTCATTTTTTTTGTTTGTTACGAGAACGCCTTAGAATGTTGTTTTCGGTTCGCCTTGTTGAACTGCTCTAATGATTCTTTTGATGAGATGCCGCCAGGAATCGAAGTGTCAGCCCTGGGCTTCCTGCCATTGCGACATTTCTCGACGGAGATTTCTTTATGCCCATAAAGTCAGAGATGTCGCGGCCAGCTGATTTATCAAGTGATACTAAAACGTTTTGACGTGTGCTAGTCATAACCCCAAGGACAATAAGAGACGCCAAGTGGCCGTCAGTTTATGTGCACTTTCATTTATATCAATTTCCAACGACCGCATCAACCAGAATCGGAATCAGAGCAAAAGCCCTGGGGCAGCGCAGCAAAGGGCGCTTGCTACATTGCCCCTCTGCTTCAGCTTCAGCTTTAGCTTCATTTTCTATTCTTTTTGTGCTTATGTTTTTGTCCACCAACGACGACCACAACAGTACATCATTCGATCATTTGGTCAGGCCCCCCAGAACAGGCCATGCGAAGTGAAGTCCGTTTCGACTCCTCTGTGGCGGCTGTCCGACCCGCATCCTGTTGTTTTCTGTGTCCATCCGCTGCTTTGTATTTTTACGAGCACTCGTAAACTGAATCGAAATTTAAGATTTATTATCTGTAACAAGAAACTTAAATCTCCTCTCAGCTGTCTTAGCCACGGACTTAAGTGCTCAGTGTTTCCCCATAATTCCCCATTGATGCGGATACGCACCCACTACTATATACGGGCCTCTTGGGAATGGGAAGTAGGACTGCCCTGACTTGGCTTATCACTCGCTTATACTTATGCCAATGCCATTTAATTAGGGTCGTTAGTTTCCAGAGAGCGCATAAGGATCTGCCCCATCATCCACGTACATTCCGTATGCTTGTATTTATTCACAAAAGCCATATATCATAGCCATTCGTATTCGTATATAAAAATACTCATAGTTGTGGCTTTATGGCAGTGACAGTGACAATGCGGGTCTTGGTCCGTGCGTGTGTCCTGTGTGAGTCGTTGGAAATTTCAGGGAGTGCGTATGAGCCAGAGCCAGGATACCCGTAGTAAAACTACGCAGGGCATGGCCAGAGATGGAAGCATGTAGCCAATTATTAAATTTGTAGCTGCTCGTAAGCTCCGCATATGAATATGCAAATTACTTCTACTTTTAGCTAAGGGAAAGTACCCCACAGTCCCATGAACCGCAGGGCACTGCGGGGTATTAAAATCCAAGAAATTGGTATCATAATTCAGACAACGTCACCGCATCTTTCATCACATGGTAATCCCGCAGAGATTTGCAAATATTGCACTCAGCGAAATGAATGGAGGACAAATTAGCATGATTGTTGTTATCGTTTTATCAACTCCATGGAGGAATGTCTCCTTTAAACTGCTAGAAGTAAGTTTTAATACTGAAAATTAGCCGAAGTAAATGGGAATATTTAAAGAAGAATTTAAATCAATGACATTGATATATTTAAAGTCTTCGGTCTTATAATTTAGCTGCGTAGCCCTCTTTTTCAATTTTCTTTCCTCTATTTGTAATCCATTTCAATTGAATCAATGAATCCCTCCAATATGATTCATTACCAACATAAATGAAATTCAAAATCCCTAGTTAATTTTTCTCTGTGTGCATTGCGTACCCCGACGATCTCAATTAGACTCACGTCTGATTTATGGCATGGACAAATTATGCTAATGCAATTGGTTGCCTCCAATAAATAAACGTTATGACAATTTGATATTGGCTTCTGTTGCGCAGAGCTTTGTCTGTGCCGTCGCCCAGCCCACTTACTCTGCCCCCAGCCACAGAGGATAGTCAGTTCAGTACTTTATTTCGTTGTCTATTTTTAGTGCACAACAAGAGAACCAGATTCCAAGTGGGTGGAGGGGAGTAGTGGCGGTCCAATAATGGAATTACCGTTGTGTTATCTGCCAAATGTTTTGGCGGACAGACGGGGGCCCAGGCGACGACCTAACACCAAAATACGAGCACAATGCACGGCATGAGGTGGGGATAAGGATGGGCATGGATGCCCCATAATTACATGGTTTGGTCAGGGCACCCAGACTCAGACTCAGACTAGACTAAAGCAAGTCTTGTCTATGACTATTGAACGGGCGCCACACAATGAGCGGACTGCACTAAGCTAAATGAAAAATGCTGAACCAACTCGTTCCCGTTCCATGCCATGTCAGCGGCGAGCCTTGTCCCTTGTCCTCTTCCTCTGCACTGTGCGTCAGCCTCACAGCTCTTATTCAAATTACAATTCATTATGGCAAGCAAAATAAAAAATGACACCCCTACCAGAATAGACTGCCACTGGCACTCCGCATCCCTGCTGGCATTTCTGAAAGTGAGTGGCGACTGAGAGTAAGAGTTCAATAGACGAGATTGGAAAGCGAATACTCAGCAGAAAAAGGCTTAGGGATGCCACTGCAGTGGCTGATGGCTGGCGGCTGATGGCTGGTAGCAGGCGGCATCCTGCGTGTGCAAATTAATCAGTGGAAGATATTTGCATGCCAAGCCTTGTTGAAACGGTGTCGTCATCGTCGCCTTGCCTTGCCTCGCCTCGCCTCGCCTCGACAACTTGATGATTGCCATTATACTTGACGGCTCCGTCAGCATCTGGAGCTGGAGCTGATGCTGAAGCTGGTAAACATTCTTTGTGTGCAATCTCCTTGCAGGTTCATTGCCATCTGGTGGCCGCTGAAGCAGATGACAAAGCGACGTGCGCGCATCATGATAATCGGCATATGGGTAATCGCACTGGTAACCACCATACCCTGGCTGCTCTTCTTCGATCTTGTCCCGGCCGAGGAGGTGTTCTCCGATGCCCTGGTCTCGGCCTACACACAGCCCCAGTTCCTGTGCCAGGAGGTCTGGCCGCCCGGTACCGATGGCAATCTCTATTTCCTGCTGGCCAACCTGGTCGCCTGCTATCTGCTGCCCATGTCGCTGATAACGCTCTGCTATGTGCTCATCTGGATCAAGGTATCCACGCGCTCGATACCGGGCGAGTCCAAAGACGCCCAGATGGATCGCATGCAGCAGAAGAGCAAGGTCAAGGTCATCAAGATGCTGGTGGCAGTCGTCATACTGTTTGTGCTCTCCTGGCTGCCACTCTACGTGATCTTTGCGCGCATCAAGTTCGGCTCGGACATTTCGCAGGAGGAGTTCGAGGTGCTGAAGAAGGTGATGCCGCTGGCCCAGTGGCTCGGCTCCTCCAACAGCTGCATCAATCCCATTCTCTACTCGGTGAACAAGAAGTACAGGCGAGGATTTGCGGCCATCATCAAGTCGCGCAGCTGCTGCGGTCGCCTCAGGTGGGCTGCTCTCTCGGCCCCAGCTGTTGTTTCCCTCCTAATGCTCCTCCGTTTACTTGCAGATACTACGATAACGTTGCCATTGCCTCCTCCACCACCAGCACACGCAAGTCGTACCACCAGAACAGCTCGAGGAAGAGTCCCAGCAGCAAGGGCAACGCCGTCTCCTATATCTACGAGCACAACTCGTTGCGGCGCCACAACATGATGCTGAAGCAGGACAGCAATCTGTCGCAGCAGATGCTGCTGAAGCAGGACTCGCACGGCTCCCGACAGTTTCTGATCAAGCAGGAGAGCTCCTGCAGCGACGCCTCTGGCATCCGGCGCCCGTTGTGCCAGCAGGATAGCAACGGTTCCAAGATCTCGCTCTCCAAGCAGGACTCGATTGTCTCCTACATGGAATCGCGTCGCGCTCACGGTCTCGGTCTGAGCGACTCGCTGGCGGACAGAGACAGCGTCTCCATTGAGTCACGACGCGCTGGCGGAATTATGGCGAATGCCACGCCGGGATCACTGCTGGACAAGCGACAGAAGTTTGTTAAGCAGGATTCGGTCATCTCGTTTGTGGATCAGCGACCAGAGCCGCGACGCCATCAGCTGGTTAAGCAGGATTCGGTCATTTCGTTTGCCGATCAGCGTCGTGGTCTACTCCACAAGCAGGATTCCCTGAATCGAGCCAGCGACGCACCCACTCATCATGTGTCCATACTGAAGAAGACGGACTCGCAGCTTAGCTACGTTTCATCTTCGTCAGCATCCGCCGCTTCTCCGCGCCGCAGTGCGGATCTGTACGAGTAGGATATTACCCACAGTCCCCCTTGCCGTTCCCCCAAACACACACATCCCACATAATAATATATGGACTAGGACTAGCTACAAACCACTTACAGAACGTACTCGAACATACGTATACATATTATATACACGCATACACGAGTATATATAGAAACTAGACAGACATTTTTCCACAAATACTTGTCTCATTCCTATGGCAGCTACATGCATACATGCATATGTATTTGGATATGATATGCTATGACGATCCAATACTGGTATTTCTGACTTATTGCTAAATTGTCCCTTGCTAAATTACAGCCAGAGATGCCGCTGAAACGGAGGGACTAGTGTGCACAGAATGAGACCAACAGACAGGCAAACAGACGGACATGGACATGGCTTGGTCGGTGGGTATCTTCTATTATTATAATGATTTTATGAACTGTGATAGAAGTTGGCAGTGCTGTTGGTGGACTGGGCTCTGAACTTGGCTGGCAAGTGCCAGACTTATCCGTCATGCCATCGTTGTTGTCATCGCCGTCGTGTATACGTAGGAATAGGCAAGAGGGAATGGGTATGGGTATGGGTATGGACCAATTCGATAGTGGGTGGGTAATCTAATCAGAGATCGCTTAGTTAGGCACAACACCAAAAAACACTCTACAAAAGACATGCTCCCAAACAGACAGGCCCACACATAGAAATAGATGTTTTATACGTGTTTCAATGGTACTAAACACAAGACAAGATATAAACTACTCCTTGGCTATGGCTATATAATATCTATAATATATGTACCGTTACGCAGTTTTAAGATTGTTTGTACTCGCCATTTGCTATATCGAAGAAGAGTTGAGAGACGGAACGGAACGGATTAGAGAAGACCTACAATAGGGATGGGGGTTCAAATAGCTTTGCTAAACTTTTTGTACGACAGCGAGAGTGAAACGGAACGGGCAAGTAAGTCCAGTATCATATTTGAGAGAAGATAGAAGTAACAAAACGAAAAACAAAAAAAAAACAAAAGAGAAAACACCGAGGTCTAAAGTAACGTACCTACTAAATTTTTGTATGGAAATTCTTACAATTTATACATATATATTTATATTGATTTTGGTATAAGCAATATGCATATGCAATGCATGGGTATGGTATGTCTATGCATACACTGTGTATCTATCAAACAACAATAATCAATTTTATTAGAATTTTACACAAAACCAAACCAAACCAAACCGAGTCACAGCAGCAAACGGAAATGGTGGTGGCACAGTGGCAAATGGTTAGTAAACGCAATACAACGGAAGGAACGGAACGGAGAAACGATGAAGGATAAGAAGTATGGCAACGGAAGCAGTAGGTAGGCCGTTAGCTTAGATATCGTTGGGCAGTGGTAGTGGATACAGTACAGCAAAGTAAGTACATAGCACTTGATGACCATGCTGCAATGCTGATAAAGATGAAGATGATGTTAGATTGGGGCACTGGCGGCGCGGGGTGGGGTAGATTAGGGATAGCGCTAGATTAGATCTAGGAGGGGGCCGGCCGCGGCTGATTTCGGAGCCGGTAGACCGACCGCAAGAGGGAGCACAAAGCAGTCAAAGATTTCGCACTAAACGTATCACTACAAAACTAACAAAGAAACCAAGAAGCAAACAATAATCGAACTCAAATTCGTTAAACACCAAACACCAAAGAACTTTAAACTACGAGTATAAATAAACAAAAAAAAAAAAAAAAAACAAACAAACCTTTTAACAAGTACGAGTAACTACGGAGGAATCAATGGTATAACTATGAAACTAAACATAATGATAAACTATGCAATTTTATTGTTAGCCAAAATTTTATAAATGTCAAGTAACGAACAAGTAAAATATTTATATGTAACCGTATACAGAATATATCAAGTATAAAACATATGTATGTTATATATATATCTTTATATACTTCGATGGTATTAGGCGCTGTTTTGTAGAGTTTTGTCACGCTTGAACGTTGCTTCTCTATCAAACATTTGATTTGGGAAGCTTAAAGCAAATCCCATCCCATCCCAAAACAAAACCAAACCGAACAAAGCACGATGATGAAACATGTTTACGGCCTGTACAAAACTCCAGCGCTTAATGCAAGTCAAGATCTACAAAGAAGAATATCAATAATATATTACAAATATACAAAAATTTATATAGATTTAACAAAGCATATACTCGTGCTCGTACCAGCAGTAAGTGCTGCCCCAAAACCCAAACCACAGAAAAGAAGCGAACACCAAATATTAAGCTAAAGATTACATTTATATAGCGAGCTATCAACAAATTTGTTGTGTGAGCAACAAAACTATATGCAAACCCCCAAATATTTATACGTACGTCTGCAAGTAAGTGAAGGTGCGCAATAGAAATGTCCTTAGCCGCTTGTACTCAGCCACGCAAAAGATGAACGTAACGTGAAAGTAAAGGAAAATGTGAATAAAGCAAAAGTACTTATATTTATCGAAAAAACCAAATTGATTTTAAAGTTTTAAAAAATGTAGAGCATACTCATACCCTTCATACATACCATAAATTATATGTGCATTATGTTCGTTATATACCGATATGGAAAATAGCAAAAAAAAGAAACACCAAATCTGCGCGTTAACAGGTTCAAGATTAAGAATATCAATATATATTTAAATATATGTGTTTATGGATACATATATGTATATTTATCGCCGTACAAACAACACCAAAGAAACATACATGTTAGCAGAAATAATACAAATAAATAAATATAATAAATAAACCAGAATCTCGTTAGACATTATTTCGACTTTCGTTGCATCAGCTGATCATAGTTCGGTATTTCAGTAAAATACTATGCCACTATGTCCATTTTTAGGGTATAAACAAATGTCTATAAGCACTGGGCTTAAGACAACCAAATAATATCCAAGAAACAAGATGGACCGCTGGCTAAATCGCGTTGCCGTTGTCACTGGTGCCAGTTCCGGGATCGGGGCAGCATGCTGCAAAGATCTGGTCTCCAAAGGAATGATCGTCGTGGGATTGGCGCGACGGGAGCATCGACTGCAGGAAGTAAAGTCTTCTCTGCCCGTCGATCAAGGGGCTCGTTTCCATGGCCGGAAGTGCGATGTCAGTGTGGAGCAGCAGGTAATTGATGCCTTTGTTTGGATCGAGCAGACTTTGGGCGGGGCCGACGTACTGATAAACAATGCCGGCATAGTACGACGGACCAACATCACCGATGAGGGCAACTCGGACGCTCTTCGCGCTATTTTGGATACAAACTTGCTGGGCGTTTCCTGGTGTACACGCGAAGCGTTTCTTTCGCTTCAGCGTAGAAAAGTGAACGATGGGCATGTGGTGCTCATAAATAGCCTGGCCGGGCATATTGTGCCAATGGTGGATGGGGTTCAATTCAATATGTATGCCCCTTCAAAGCATGCTATAACCGCGTTAGCCGAAGTCCTGCGCCAAGAGTTCATCAATAAATCAACCAAGACAAAGATTACTGTGAGTATTGTTGTTCTTTGTTCCGAACGTTACCATTAACTGTTACCTTCATTACGATCTCCAGAGCATCAGTCCTGGCGTTGTGGACACCGAAATCTTCGACAAGAATTCCGCCGAGCTGACCAACTCCATGCCAATGCTGCGAGCGGAGGATGTAGCCGATGCAGTCACCTATTGCATCCAAACACCGCCCAATGTGCAGATTCATGAGCTCACCATTAAGCCAGTGGGTGAACGTTTTTAAGATGTTTATCGTTTTCCAAGATTAATATATTCTTTTCTACAATTAAAATACCCCTGCAATCGCTTGATTACAACTTTTTAAATCCTCCAAGTCGATAGCATTCGCGCCATCTAGGGTTGCAAAACCATCTATGTTATCGATAGTGGCTTGTGTTCCTCCAGGGGATTTCTTCTATTTTTCGTGGGGATTTTCTATCTTTTTGGTAGGAGATTTTCTCCCTACGCAACATCGGGGTTTTCATCGCATGATGTCCTTACATTCCACTTACATCCCACTTACGTATATTCCCTATCGATACGCTTCCGGTGGTAATGTGACAGAAGCTTTTTCCGCGAAAAATAGAAAAAGAAAAGCTGATGGGAAGACAGCTTCTGGCGCTGGCAATGAAGATGAAGCCAAAGTAGGAACGTCTCGAGCAACTGCTCTCCATTTAAACGAAGATTGCTGGAGAGTCATAATGGAATATCTGGAACTAAAGGACCAGCTTAGGCTCGCTTCTTCAAACCTGTGGATTAGAGAGATATTTAAAAGATACGCAAGCCATCGGTACAAACATATAGATAAGTCGCTCACGGATCGTCTTGGCTACAAAGATCTGAAGCAACTGTTGCAGATCGTTGGTGAGCATCTTTTTAGCTATGAAGCTAAAAATCCTCACACTTCGAAAATCGATCAGCATCTACGGCTCTTGCGGAGCTACTGCTCGAACCTCCATAATTTGAAATTAAGTTTCATTCCGAGCAGGCGCGGAAGGGACGATTTAAACGGATTGAAAAAGCTCAACTCTTTGGACGTTCATTTGTGGTGTGCAGAAAAAGATAGGATATTTATGAATTTTGTTTGCAATCTCAAGCCCCCGTCTCTAAGGAAACTGAAGTTGTTTGCTCATACATATAGTGGGAAAGGATTGCATGTTTTCGATCAACTGGAATCTCTGGAAATTTTTGTCTTTGTTGATTTCGATGGTGAGAACTTTGCGGATTGCTGTCGAGCAATGACGAACTTGCGGGTTCTTAAATTAAACGATATGCAAAATTATAGTAAGAACATTTTTGAAATTCGGCCCCGGGCGCCCCCCCCCCCCCCCCCCCCGGCCCGGCGCCCCCCCAAGCGCGGCGGCCGCCCAAATTTGCGGAGCACCTTTCCGGCATACTATCCCCTACGAGACACTTGAACACAGCGTTGATGTAACTCCAATAACTGAAATTATACTTTACTTTTCCCAATATACATTCATATCATGCATATCTTGTATTATTTGTCTAGATCGCTCAATATTTTATTCAAATATTATGACACTCCTCTGTATTTTTACGGTATATTTTTAAATATAGAACGTATATTTCAGTATATTTCTGAGGGTCAGGTCACACCAGCCAGCAGTCGTAGTCGTGTCGGGATTTGTTTTTATAAATTATTATCTGTTTCAAGCCGTTAACTAATTAATTGGAATACTCTTCGAAATTGCAACGAAATTCTCCATATATACATACTTTACGGTTGTCATTACCGTCGCGTTTCCTTGTGTGCTAACGAAGCTAATTGAATTACACACGCACACAGACAACAAACAGTCGTCTGCTCTGCGTCATTAGCTATTTCGGTCCAAATATTGAAATTATGGAACAACAACAGCAACAAATAGCCCCCGAAGTGGCCGCAACTCCAGCCCCACTGCTGGAGGAGCAACTGGACATGGATGACAGCATGAAGCACTGCTTCGAGAACCTAATTGTCATCGATGTGGGGGCTAATTTGACCAACAAAAAGTATAGCCGTGATCTGGATTCCGTTGTCCAAAGAGCAAGAGACGCAGGTTAGTACTAGTATGGGTATGTCAATTGAAGAAGAGCTAGAGAAGAACAAGACTAAGCCTGGGTGGGGGGGAATTGTCTTTGTTTTTGGGCGAGGTCTTTTCTGGTCAGTCACACGCACTGAGAGAGTGGCAAGAAGGTCAAGTGATAAGCAACATGTGTGCACAGCTCGTGGCTGTGTGCGTGTGTGAGAGTAGAGGTATGTGGCATAGCCGTAGGCAAGTGCAACCCGTGCACCACTGCATTTTCGATGGCATGGCTAACTTTCTCTTTGGTCTCTTTTGTGTGTGTCTGTTTTGCAGGTGTTCAGAAACTAATGGTACACGGCACTTCGGTCAAATCGAGCAAGGAAGCGCTGCGCCTTTCGCGCATTTATCCCGACATTATCTACTCGACTGCTGGCATTCACCCACACGACTCAAAGTCCATTGTGGAGGAGCCGTCCACATGGTTCGACTTGGAGCACATCGCCCAGGCACAGGAGTGCGTCGCGGTGGGTCCTTGCGGCCTGGACTACCAGCGCGACTTCTCCGAACCAGATGCCCAGAAACAGATCTTCGCCAAGCAATTGCACTTGGCCATACGCCTCAATAAACCTCTGCTAATCCATGAGCGGTCGGCTCAGAATGATCTACTCGAAATACTCGACAAGTATGCCCCAAAATAAAGCCAGCCACAACAAACGTTTCTAATCTATCCCACTGCAGATTCGAGAATCTACCGCCCGTGATTATCAGAGGTTTTATGGGCACAGCCGAGGAGGCGCTAAAATACTTGGACCGGAGGTTCTACATCAGTTTGACCGGCTACTTGTGCAAGGACAAATCAGACACGGGTGTTCGCAGACTGCTGGACAATGGCACACTGCCTTTAGATCGATTGCTAGTTGAAACGGATGCTCCGTTCATGTATCCAAACACCAGGGCTTCCAAGCTACCGCAACATGTCAAGACTGCCATCACGGAACGCTCTTTGCTGTACTTACACAGGTAATGGGAATGATTCCTCTGATTATATTATATATATGGAAATTCTTTTGCAGATATTGTACCTTCCAACGAAACGAGCCATGCAGTCTGCCAGCAATTGTGGAAATGATTGCCGCATTCATGAAGAAAACGCCCGATGAGGTGGCCTTGGCCACTGCCTTCAATGCCCTGAAGCTTTTCGGTTTGTCCTAAAAAGGGTGCGTGCGAGCCTGAGATTCACGATAGACTCATTTATGTGCCTTAACCACTAATCGAATTCATGATGATCCGATCGTCTTGATATACATACACATAACGATACACACCCACACAACTACGAACCCCAACCCATTGCATGCGAGAACTACGTATACGTATACCATACTCATACTCATACTGGTGCAAATTGGCGATCGAAATTTGCAAAAGTATAGATTTAAGTTGTTGGAATTTCCTAAGCAGATGCTTTATTTACTTGAATACCCCGAGAAAACGGTGCCAAGGTAGGTGCCAAGTGAACGCGTTGGACCCTTGGGAGCAAATCAATTTGCGATCCGTCGACGTTTCACGCTTCGAAGCGCGCGCTTCGAACTACAGATATATGTATGTAGCTTTCGAAAGCGATAATGTTAAATGCTGCAGCTTGTCTCTGTTTCAATCTGTGCTTAGATTTAAGATTCATATTTATAGTTCTTTGTGTCTTGTTAGTTTGTAGTCCTCTTTTTTTTGTACATATTTATTCTTGTTGTTTATTGTGGACCTCCCGAGGTTCGCCCCTACTAGTATGCGATATGATGATGATGATTATGGGAAACGTAATGTGATCATTTTAAGAGCTAAAGCATATTCAATATCCTATGCCTATATTTTGTTATATTTACATATACAAAAGAAACAAAGTTGTACTGGACTGATCAACTCACGGAGGTTGCATAAAAATCCGCTTTTGTGCCCATTGTCCGCACACACTCACACACACACTATTTTCCATTTGAATAAAGCGAATTTGAAAATCAAACAAACGATCATTGGTCATAATAGTATATTTGGTTCGTCAGCACAGCACACAGCGCATCGTTGGGTCGACGTGTGTGTGTGTGCATATTTAAAAGCGTTGTATGTTTTTCAAATCCTCGAACTGTTTCAACCCATTCAAATTGTCCCACCATTGTTTGAGGCGGTGACGCAATATTAGGGAAAACCAGGGGGTCAATGGGGCGCTGAAATTCGAGACGGCATCGTCAATCTCGTCGCGTCTCAAGAAGCGCACTTCGCTGACCTCGTTGCTGTTGGGACACAGCGTTACATCCTTTTGCAGGAATAGAATGTAGTCGATTTCATGCTCGCCCCAAACATTATTTCCCGGATCGGCGTAGTGGATGCGCGTGAGATAGTGAAAGTCCTCCGGCCGGATTTCATCTGTTGGTATGCCTAGCTCGTAGTTCAGGCGCCGCTGGGCAGCCAGTCGGATTCCTAGGGCGTTCGACTCCTGTCGCTCCTGTTCTATCTCATAAAGCGGGTGGCTGCAGCACGCGTTGGTATATGTATTGGGAAAGGTGATCTGCACTTGGCCAACGATTCAAGTTTAATGGTTTCAGGCGTATTTCCGCTGCTAACTCACCTTGTGAACAGAACGTCTTTGTACCAGCATTTCGCCTTTGGCATTGAAGAGAAATACGCTAAACGCGCGATGCAGCTTGACGTCCCTCGTCTGTGGATGCACCCTATGGCAGTCTGCCTTGGATGCTGCGCCTATGGCTCTGTCATTTTCGTCCACAACAATACATTGCTCCTTTAAGGCGCTTGCCTGCAAAGGATCGTGCACTTCAACGGGCGCCTCCTTCTGTTGGCGACCTGGAGTGGTGCAGCACCTGCGCAGCAGCTGAAAGCGTGCAGTTAGGAGATTCAAGCGCGATGCCAACATTTTTGGGGATTGACTAGCTTCAAAATGTGACAAAACAAATATAAAAAGTGAAACTTCGTAATACTGGGCGAGCGGTGCTGCCAACTGGCGCAACCAGAATGTGCTCATTTTGCCACACTGGTGCTCGGAAAACAGCTGTTTTGCTTCACGTCGTAGCCCTGGAAATAGTGATACACAATTTGCTCATAATCAGTTTTTCGCTTCCGTCGCTGAAAATTTAAATTGTAAATACCAAAGTAATTACTCTAGTAATTACCACCGCAGGGCCCTTAAAAATGGTAAAACCATCTGATTCCTTATCTTCGCGCTGTATTGCACTGTTTGTACTCCCCCAGATACGCTTTATACTCATACAAAACCGTGCTGGTAAGACTCGCCTGGCGAAATGGTATATGAACTTTGATGACGACGAAAAACAAAAACTGATTGAGGAGGTCCACGCCGTGGTCACTGTGCGGGATGCCAAGCACACCAACTTCGTAGAGGTAAGGGCCAGGATAGGATGCAAATGGGGGCGTCCACATGCAGTGTCGAAGCCTAATCTAACCATTTACCCACTCCACAGTTTCGTAATTTCAAAATTGTCTATAGACGATATGCGGGCTTATATTTCTGCATTTGCGTGGACGTCAATGACAACAATTTGTGCTATCTGGAAGCTATCCACAACTTTGTGGAAGTGCTGAACGAATACTTCCATAATGTGTGCGAGCTGGACCTCGTCTTCAACTTCTACAAGGTCTACAGTGTGGTGGATGAGATGTTTTTGGCCGGCGAGATCCGGGAAACTTCACAGACGAAAGTGCTCAAACAGCTGCTAACATTAAACTCTTTGGAATAGATAGCCATCTCCATTAGAACGATGCATTCCCATAACCCCCCGTGTGGGTAGGCGTTATACCCGCTTATCGAATCTTCTTTCATATACTATTATGTATGTATTATTATTATCTGTAATGTGTTCTCTATGCAAACAAAACTCTCAAATGTTAAATACCGTGTTTAGAATCAAATAATGCATTCTAAGAAATTATATGCAAGCCAGTCGATTCGATTGTTATCGGGGGGTCGTTGGGTCGGGTCAGATAAACGGTATCCGCCCACACACCTCTGTGTTGGAAGGGAATTCCTATTTTCTGTGCAGCCCTGGCTCTGACGCTTTTCCCAACACTGGAGTCTGATGCCACTTCGTCATTTTTTCAGTCGCCATTGTTCTCGTTCTCGGCCATCGAATTTGTGGAAATAAACTCGATTTCCTATAAATTCGTTGCAATAAACACAATAACCAGTTACAAAACACACAATAGCAATAGTGCAAGAGCAGTGCGCGTAATTTAGTGATACATTTGAAGTAATCAGACCGCGCAAGTCGAAGAAACAGTCAACGCAAAGCAGCCAGGCAAAGGCAGAAATCGTATCGAATATTTGTTCGTGGCAAATATAAATTCTTGTGAAAAAGTCCCAAAATGTCATCTGTGAATCCCGAATAGTAAGTTGTCACATGCACAAACTGCGCACCAGTGCAGTGGAGACCATTGACTTGTTTTTGATTGAAACATTTTTACACACTCGCGTTCGATAATCGTTGCTTTCATCATTTTTTTTTTCTGCGACGTCATTTTTGCTACGTCTCACATCCCAGCCCAGCCCAGCCCACTCCCTTTTTTCTAGCATTGTTTAGCGCTGGCCTGGCCCTGTTGTTGGCAACTCCAAAAGCACTCGATTTTAATAGAAACTAAAAGCAGCCCTAAAACCAGAAAGGGATGTGCACACATCACATGAACATATATATTTATGCACCCATACGAGCGCACTCTGATGGCAAACTTTGTACGCCACAGAGAAAATATTGTTGATTGTTTTTGCTTCTAGTCGCTTCTCAGCTTCAGATTCGGCCAGCACATCCATTCCATTCCAAGCACTGTCCGGAGCTCAGTTACTGGACTGGACTGGATGGCGGGCTGACTGGCGATTCGTGGGGCGTATGAGTCACCTGCGTAGAGAGAGAGAGAGTCTCCTACCCCTCTCGCGTACGCTTTGTTGTTGTTTGACAGCTTTTGTAGTGTTGCTCTCACTCTCTCTCTCCCTCTCTCTCGCTCCCTGGTGCTACGTAATCAAAACCTCTTTTATTTGGCTTTAATTGCCTTGCTGCGCTCCTACTTGAAAACAATTGAACTTGAGAAATTTCCTGAGCTATGGAATCTCTGGCCCTTTCACTGTATCGCAACAGTTACGAGATGGATGTTTAGCCATTATCAAAATGCTCGTTCGGTTTTCAATTGGGGGTTGATGTTGGATACCCCACATCGATAAGATAACGCAGACTTAGTATATGTACAATGTGACGTTTTGTGTACCTCCCTCATGAATATTCCGACTTATCATATTTTTTCTTCTTACAGCGATTATCTCTTCAAACTGTTGCTGATTGGCGATTCCGGCGTTGGAAAGTCCTGTCTGCTGCTGCGATTTGCCGATGACACATATACAGAAAGCTATATCAGCACAATCGGTGTAGATTTTGTAAGTGTTTTATCGAAACAACCAAAAAAAAGACCTTGCGTGTGACTAATAAAACCTTTTATCTTGCAGAAAATTAGAACCATAGAGCTGGACGGAAAGACCATTAAACTGCAAATCGTAAGCACGTTTGTTAGTTCAATTGAAACTAGAGCTAAACTCTTGCAACTCTTTACAGTGGGATACTGCTGGTCAGGAGCGCTTCCGTACCATCACTTCTTCATACTACCGTGGCGCACATGGTATCATTGTTGTCTATGACTGCACGGATCAGGAGTCCTTTAACAATGTGAAGCAATGGCTCGAGGAAATCGAACGATATGCTTGCGAGAATGTCAACAAGCTGCTGGTGGGCAACAAGAGCGATTTGACCACCAAAAAAGTTGTTGATCATACCACAGCCGCGGTGCGTATTATACGAGAGAGTAAAAAGTCCATTTATCTTATCTCATTTTATTATTTATTTTTTTTAAACTGAATTTTGGGAAACTGTAGGAGTATGCAGCTCAGTTAGGCATTCCATTTCTTGAAACTTCGGCCAAGAGCGCCACCAACGTGGAGCAGGCCTTCATGACGATGGCGGCTGAGATCAAGAATCGCGTCGGGCCGCCATCCAGTGCCACCGACAACGCTAGCAAAGTGAAAATCGATCAAGGACGTCCAGTGGAAAAACCCAATTCTGGTTGCTGCTGAATAACTCTGATTGTGAATCATTATTTTATTATACAATTAAACAAAATTTAAATATAATAAATTAAAACGGAAAACACACAACAACAACAACAATAATAAAAGGAAAATCGAAAGCGTAATAACAAAACCATAATTATAATATCAGATTCTGTAATAGCAATAATGATATGAGGATGCGTTTGAGCATATTGATTGAGTAGATGCGTTTGTATGATTCCGATCCGTGGACGCGAGAGTACACACACTTTAAGCAAATATATGTAATAGGTATGTAGCCAACAAAATTCCAAAACATCCCCAACACAGCCCATTCACATGGCAAGATGCTGATACTAACCGTCTTTCTGATTTCTGTTCCAACCGTTCTGTTCATACATAAGTAGTGCAAGGCAAAACGGTTTAGCAATTAACTTAATCTAAATCTAACCTAACGTAAGAGAGTTACTTATCACAGCAGCGCGAAAAGATACTAACTTAAATTACTTCACTCCACCACCATACACATGATACATGGATGATCCGATCCGCGTTGAATGTAAGCAGGGCCGCATATGCGAGGAGCTGGCAAACGAGAGCCACACTTACACTTGTACACCGGGTCTCCTCCTACCCATAACTATGTACTATGTATATGCATATGTGTGCGAGTGTGGGTGTGTGTGTGTGAGTTTGAAACATATTTATCTCTGGTGCTCGCTCGCCACTTGTCTCTGTCATATTCAAAATTTTATGTAAATCAAAACGAACACTTTTAGCATTAACAAAAACAAATTGTGTGTATTTGTATTTTCGAGTGACGCGATGGATTTGTGTAGGCACATAATTAGTGTAATAATAATGACGATATAACGATGAAGTTTAATAAAAATTGCGTGAGCGTAAAATATTAAAAAGGTTTGGGAACAAGGCACACACAACATTACATACTCGTACATACACACACACATACACACCATACAGTTTCGGCTTTCACTTTCGCCCGAATTTGATTTTTTATTTCGCTTGAATACAATAAAATCTGTACCGATGCCTATAAAAGGTTTTGTTTTATTCCCCAACATTAGCTGTGGGGTCAAAGTGAAGGCCGGAACTAAGCATGCGAGTACACACGAAAAAAAAAATAACTCATGGTTTCAAAAACATTCTCTAGCGTTTATTGACTTCATCTGAGGTACTTCAGTCTTAACAACGAAATTTCTTCTAAATACTATGACTATTTGCTGTTGGAATTCAACTAAAATACTCGTACAATTCAATGGGAGGGATGTTTTCAGGTTTTGCTGGTTCGACGCTCCTGCAGACAAGCGGCTGTTACCGTGGCCGCGGTTGTTCCAATGATGGCGGCACCCAGGATGCCTCGTTCGCGCTCGCCCAGTCCGGAAATGGACAGACTATTGCTTCGCCAGGCAGAGGACGAGGTTGTGCGCTCCGTGCCCGAAGAGGTGGATATGGAGTTGATCAGAAATGTGGCCTCGCGACGCAGCGTACGGTGAGCCGGACGGGTACTGGCGCCGCCGGCCAAAGTGGCTCCCTCGTCAGCATCATTGGCTTGTCGTCGTGAAGTGTTTCGCATGCTGCCGCCTGCCGTCGCATGCTGCCGCTGATGGTGGTGATGATGGCGATGATGATGATGGCTCGGCCTCTGACCCAGGCACGTGAGCAGCAGCCGCCAAAAGCCGCCCCGGAACTTGGACGACATCAGGTTGTAGAGAATGGGATTCATGGCCGAGTTGAGATATAGCATGAAGCGCGAAAAGTACAGCAGATTGTAGTAGCCTGCGATGCCCAGGCGCTCCACATCCTCGGCGCTGGCCATGATCACCCACAGCGTGAATGCTCGGAAGGGCAGCAGACACACAAAGAAACTGGAGACGACCGCCACCAGCATAAAAATCACCTGCTTGCGGTGCTTCCTCATGCCATTGCTCTGCTGATGGCTGTTGCCTTTGGTGCTGAGTGCTGTGGTGCCCGTCCCCGGCTGCGGCTGCGGCGAGGTGGGCCTATGGAAGGCATTGTTTGGCCGCAGCAGCTTGTAGGCAATGGCCGCGTACAGCAGGACCAGTATGCCGAAAGGTAGAAAGAAAAACACCGTAATGCTGCCCACAAAATAGAAGATCGTCCAGAAGCCATCGGCCGCTGTGGTGCAGACTGGAGCGTCCGTTCCGTCTCCATAGGGCTCTACGCTGTAGCTGGAAATGGCGATGATGGGACTGCAAAAATCATACATATGTATATATTTATTTATATCGGGGTGAATATGAATGGTATTGTTCTTATTATTGCTGATGTTGTCTGCAAAGTTTTAACGGCGCTCCAAGAGGGAAACAAACAAATATTTAAAAACTACTCAACGGCAGCTGGAACTAAGTACTAGAAAACTTTCAAAGGAAGCACTCAACTTAATCAGAACGGAAACGGCAACGTCTGCTCGTACCCGTCATACTTACACATGCGACGAGGGGCTCTAACTACTTTTGGTGGTGTTGTAGAGGAAAAATTACAGGAAATCTACATACGTCATATTGATACTTCTAAGGCTACGAAAACAAATTACAAAGCTACGTATGTACAAGTATCTATGTATGTATATTTACAGAAGATTGGCAGTTGTCCGATTTCCTGAACAATAATTTACATTATTTTGCTTACTGGCAGGAGGGAGGTCTTCCCAATAGATGGGAGGTTACCGCAGGGCAGGGATATGTTGAAAATAAGCCATTTCTTTGACCCATTGAGTGAGTTGTTGTCATACAAAATTTATTTACTTACAAACTCGTCACTTTTGCTATAAGTATATGCGTGCGTGTGTGTGGGTTTTTGTATATTTATAAGCCGAGTATATATGTATGTGTGTATTGTTTAAATAATATATATATAAATATTTACGTATTTATGCATGGGTTTAAGAATGTGTGCATGTGTATGCATGTATATACAACTGTGTTTGCATTTGGATTGTGTGAACATTTTATTTTGGGCCGCAGCAAAGTAGGCAACAGTTTTTTTCCTGCTATTTTTTCCATGTCCCGCCCCGTGCACGGCCGTGTAATGGCAGCCATTTTGGAATGGCCTTAAACATGGCCGTCGATTGGCAGTCGGCCTCAGCGAAAGGAAACTATTTCAATACACCTAAATCATGTTTATCCGTCGCCCTGATGGGGTACCCAAACGCATATTAAGCCATTTGCCATTTGCCTTTCGTCCAAGCGTTCGTCGTTTAATGGTAGCCCCGGCAACGGCCACGGCCCCGGTCGCAGTTCCATTCTCCCGTTGAGCTGTGCCCTTTCTCCGTTCAGTAGTTGTAGTGGTGTGTAGTGCTGCTGTTTGGCTGTCGTTGCTGTTATTTATCTTTGGCACATTCATTCGAGTTTAATAGCCCGAAAAATTGATTGTTTTTTGTACGGAAATGTCCAAGGAGCAGGCACGACGACTGGCAGGACTGGCAAAGACTGGCTGTCAACGGTTGAATGGAATCGATTATGGTTGCAAAAAGCGTTCAAAATACAATTTGTGCAGTCGTGGCGTGGCGGGGACCAGGACCAGGATCAGAGCCAAACCGACTTCGACACATTCCAGTCAAGTGAAGCGAATGTGTAAACGGGTTACAAGCGATTTTTCACGCCTTTCCCCCCTCGTTCCGGTCATCTCAGGCAAGATTTTCAGCTTCCTTTGGCCCACCCAGTGCCTCCTCGTCGAAACTGATTTGAGGCTTGTGGCGCCGCGGAGTGGGATTTGAATTCTTCAAGCCCATTAGATGGCTATCACTCTCCCGCCTGGCCATCCGTTCGCCCATCCCCGAATGGCTGAGCATGGCCATGGCTTCCAGATCACTGCCGCATGGCAACTGCAGCTCAATCTTAAGGCGTGTCCGGCTGATGTCCTCGCTGCATCGTCGATTGGAGCTGCGTGACAGAATGCTAGAGCTGGTGGCTGCCGTTGCATTGGACGAGTTGGTGTTCGTGTTGGTGCCCAGGCCCGTGGAGATGGTGCCACTGCGTCCGCGAGTGCCACCGACACCGTCGCTGCCCCGTCCCAGTGTAAGGAATTTCAACAGCAATCGGCCAGCATCGTGGCATAGCCGGGCAAAGCCCCTGCGAAACTTGGTGGACATGAGGTTGTAGAGTATGGGATTCATGGCCGAGTTGAGGTAGAGCATCACACGACAGAAGTAGAGCAGGCTGTAGTAGCGCACCAGGCCAATCTCGTGGAGCGTTTGGTCCGTGCTCAGTATGATCCAGAGGGTAAGCACGCGGAAGGGCAGCAGGCAGACGAAGAAGGAGAGAACGACGGCGCCGAGCATTAGGACCACCTGCTTGCGGGCCTTTAGGCTCAGCTCCGGCTTGGTGGGGCGGGCGCGCAGCATGGTGCTCTGATTGGAGACGAGGTTCTTGGCAATGATGCCGTACAGCACGACCAGGGTGAGGAATGGCATTATGAAGAACACGGTTATGGTCATCAGAAAGAAGGCTATGGTCCAATCGGTGATGGCCTGCGTGAGGCAAACGGCCACCGATGATCCATCAATATACTCGGCCAACTTGTATTCGGCCACCCACAGTATGGGGCTACATGGAAAATGGAGGGGGGAGAGAAAAAGCAAACAAGAAACGTAATCAGGCTGGCGGGGTCATGGGGAGGCGGATAATGGATGGAAATGGTGTGAAATGTTGAAGAACAAGAAAGAGAGAGGGCGATAGAGTGAGCGCGAGAGGAGGAGGAGGAGGAGAGAGCGCAGTGCCATAGAATATGATGATGATGAGGAGAATTGAAATGCTTAATCCCAAGATCCTTAGTTGATTTACTACATTCATTATTTTATATTTAAGAACCAGTTTCGTATGCTCATGTCCTGCCTATTCTGTTAGCTTTAAGTAATCTGAAACGCTTTAAATATTTTGGCTAGACACGACAGATATGACAGTCAACAGGCAGTGTTCAGGCTACTTCTTGGGTTGATCCAAGCGTGCTGGACGTGCGTCACTGTAGACGTCTTGTGGTGCTTGTGGTTTGAATGTGTTTTAAAATGTTTGCTCGCCTCCTCTTCGGCCTTGGGGCGGCTTCTTGGGTGGCGTAATTAATGG